CAGCAGGAACAAACGTGGATATACTTATACGCCAAATAAGTAAGATGGCAACATGGTACACCACAGCTGGCCAAAAATGGCTCTGGGCTCATTTCCAAATGTTGGTCCATCCCCAGTACAGATTAGGCGCGTGAAGAATTGGAAGGAAAAGGAGACAAAATTAATTATCAAACTTTAATTGATAGACTAATCTTACAGGATAAACAATAAGACAGCTAGTCAAGGTTACACTTAAAAAAAAAAATCCAGCAGCGCATAGCTAATAAGACTAAATACGTTCATCTCCTCCCAAACAGGCAGTTGATTAAAAACAAAAACCAGAACAGAGCGTACACCACAGGGAAAACATGGTACTTATATATATTGTCAAATAATTCTGCAGAACTGGTTAAGAAACAAAGAGATTCTTCGAAATTCAGAAAGCAGTAGAACCACCCAGCCTGGCAGGTATATCTGCCAGATGTCGTGCGCTTTGGAGGGCTCCTGACCGCCTGTGACTTCAGAAAGGCCACCAGGTCCCTCTAAGAAGAAAACAGGGGCCAGTCCTAACTGGAGATGACTTTTTCACAAAGTCTTAAGACAAAGGGACCATCTTTTCCCAAGACAACAGGCATGAGCAGAGGCAAGGAGAGAAAGAGGCGTCCCTCAGAGGATGCAGTGGAAAGCAAGCCGCGCTTGCGTGGCCCTTGGCACCCGGGGTCCATCCCATGCCCTTCCCTGCCCCTGGCAAAGAGGGCGGGCCAAGTGCGGAGCCCAGGACCGCTCCTCCAGGCACGTGGTTAGAGTGAGAGTAAGAAGAAAGGCAGCCCCTTCCGGCTGAAATACGGCAACTTTTCAGAGACGTGGCAAAGTGAGTTTCCTTGGCCCTTGTAATCTAAAGCAGCAACTCCGGAGAAAGTGCATCCTTAGTTCAGTTCGACTTCATTTAAAAAGAGCTAATGCTACTTGCTAAAGGCCCGTCATCGATTAAAATACTTAATACCAAAGAGTTCCAGCACGTGTCGGGACTGTCTTTCTACATTTTCTGACCAGACTGACTGGAACAGAGCTGAGGGGCCAGGCCACGCAGGGACCAGCTTGTCACTATCCTGCCAAGTCGCCTCAGGGAGGGAAGGAAAGGCAGGCTGCCTGCGAGCGAGCGAGCCCTGCAGGGGGACCGCCGGCACGACCTCCAGAGAGAAAGCAGGGTCCTTGGCCACCCTGCCCTGCATGCACGCCCCAGGCCGCGGCGAGGGGATCACAGCCAGGGCTCTGCCCAGAAAGCATCCTGAGGGAAAAATGAACACCGCGAGGCTACCGAAGGGCAAAGAGTCTCAGTTTGCTAACACAGGTTTAGTAGTACTTTCTGGCCCGTAAGATTATGATGATGACGCGACCACTCACGGGGCCGAGTGACAAGCTAGTGAGTACTGCTGGGACCCAGGCACGGCTCTACACCCCACACTCCTCCCAGCGGCTCCTGGTGCCGCCCCCTCGGCTCTCTGGGGCTTCCAGCAAGGTCTCCACGGAGTTGGGAGCCAGAGCCCAAGATGGTTCCAGCAGATTTAGTGAGCTCTGTAAAGCAACACTCAGGTCCATACGAAAAGATGTCATTTACATTATTTATATATCTCCAAGTAAGGAAAAAAGCACCATTTTACTTAAAATAAAAAGGCTCACACAGGCTTTGGTCCTGTCTTGAGATGACACCAGCCTGAGTGAGAGGTGGTTTGGCCCTCAGGGAGCAGGGAGACGGACGGGACACACGCTGTCGCCAGGAGGGAGGGGCGTCAGGTGGCACGGGCAGCCGCACAAGTGGGGCAAGTGAGGAGACCTGGCAGGAGGGGCCTCAGAGAGCAGCCCCACACGGCCAGTCCGGGGACAGAGACGCGTGCTTCAAGAGACCAAAAGGAGGCGTGTGGCACTGTCAGGACAAGCCTCCGGGACAGGGACGCTGGCCAACAGAAAGGGCAGTATTCAAACTGAGGTGACGCT